AACACCAGCTACCACTACAACAACACCAACTACCTCTACAAGAACACCAACTACCAGTACAACAACACCAACTACCTTTACAAGAACACCAACTATCTCTACAAGAACACCAACTACCTTTACAAGAACACCAACTACCAGTACAACAACACCAACTACCTTTACAAGAACACCAACTACCACTAAAACAACACCAACAACCTCTACAACAACACCAACTACCTCTACAAGAACACAACTACCACTACAACCACACCAACTACCTCTACAAGAACACCAGCTACCACTACAACAACACCAACTACCTCTACATGAACACCAATTACCACTACAACAACACCAACATTGACATCGATTCGGGGGAAATTTGGCAAATAGAAACATTTTTCTGTGTGTTTAATAGTTACAATCTGTTTCCCCATGTCAGAGATAATTTATATCTAAAACTATATCACTTGATTTATTTTATTCATGTAATTTAATGCTAATGTAGCGAGTCTGAATGTTGAAATGCTAAGAAAACCACTTTTGTGTGTACCTGCTTTCTGTGTACACATTTCGTAACACACATTTAGTGTTCATATGTCATTATACATATTTAATTGTACACATTTTGTTCACTTCTATTCATTTTAGCAATGTCCATGAAACTCATAGAAGACGAAAATGTATGATAAAAAGATCATTAAAAGATATCATTAAAAGAGATGATTAATTGATGATAGGTTGAGATTTTTACAGATGATTGTTAGATAATTTATAGAAGATTGATAGGGATAGATAGGTGACTGTATCAAGGATGATTAATATAGATAATTGATCATTGATTACCAGATGATTAATAGATATTTGAAGCACGATTGTTATATGAATGATTAATTATTGAATACAAGATACATCTTTCTGTGCGAATAAAATAACAATTACCTGAAGTGAATTGCCACGAAATAATAGCTGTATTTATTCAAGTTCTTTTGAAATCATCATTCACATTTGTTGATGTTTTCGAATGTATAATTACACAAGAATACATACACAAAATTAACATAGTTCTGTTCATCATTTATTTTATAAAACAAACAAAAAATTCAAACACGGGTTAGCTTCGTTATTTTTTTTATTTTTTTTCTAACAGGAGTCTATATATTTTATTTCTAAATAGTTTTTAATGATTCATCTACTTATCCAAATGTCTATACGTTTCCTAACTATAGTTAAAAGAAAAAAGTTTATCATCGTTTACTGGTGTCCAAACGATGCTTGTTTAGTTACAACGGTCACTAGAACAGAAACAGCTGCTTTTGCCCAGGTAAGTCACACACCCTGACGATCTAACAACGGTCGATGGGAACTTCCCGTCTGAACAGCCACGCACAACATCTGCAAAGTGAAATGTTGACAAGAATAGTTTAGTTGCTAAGTCTTGTACAACGTTTACAGTAATATATTCACTATTGTGATTTTATGTTATTCCATTTTGCTAAAAAAAATTAAGCGCTAGTCTCCATTTATGTATCGCAATCACGTCATTTCTTAAATACATTAGGTTGCGGAGTAATATGAATGTGGAAGTTCGGCTACGGGAATCATAATCATATAGAGTCTTTCCGTTTTAGATCTGTTTTAGGGGGTTGGCGTGGTCGAGTCGGTAAAGCTCATGGCTGCTAAACCAAAAAGTCTCGAGTTCGAACCCTCGGGCAGATGAGGCTCGTTAGCTGGGGACAAGCCACTCTTCTAGGAGAGACAACTCCAAAATCAAACAACTGCTGCATTGCAGTACGTTCTTGGTTGGACAAAGACAATGGAAACAAATCCAAAAAGAAAAGCAGGCTGAAATCGGAGTCAATGACCTCATTGGCGAATAAACAGTTGACACGTATACTTAATTGCGTTGGCGGCGTGGTCGAGTCGGCAAAAGCTCATGGTTGTTAAAATTCGAAAACAAAGTCACGAGTTCAACCCTCTGGCAGATTAGGCTCGATCCCTTCCAACACTTAAAATTAAGAACGAAGAAGAAGATCCTTTTTTCAAGTGGTAGTCTCATCTTGACTTGTTTTTTAATATTATAAACGCGTTCTGTCTTGGACTAGTTGGATTAGACGCTTTAGGGATTAGAGGATTTTGCTTCATGGAACTGAATGTCATGTAATCATAAATAAATTTCGTCGTGGAGGTATGGGTGGATACACGGTGTCACAGAATGTTCAGCCAATTCACCAACCATCATGCAATAGTTAGACCATACAGTAATTTTTTTTCAAAACGCGGCTTATAAATAAGACAAATAATTTCTACTTACGTTCTCCTGTTGATGTTTGATATGTTGTTACTACACAAGGGCCTGTACACTTGGTCACCTTGGTTTTCTGCCAGCCTAAGATATCCCCAGGGGCGGGGCATCTCTTGCATTTTTTAACTCCGTAGCCACTCTTGCATTTGTAGCAGTAGCGGGTTGCTGGTACAGTAGGGGTTGTCGTAGGTGTTGTGTTTGGTGCTGATGTGGTGGTACTATCAGGTGGGGTTGTAGAAACTGATGTAGAGGAAGGCGTAGTTGTGCTCGTTTCTGGTGTTGTTGTTGTGGTGTCTAGTGGTGTTGTAGTTGTGGTATCCGGTGGTCCAGGTGTGGTGTCTTGAATTGTTGTAGTGCATTCTGGTGTCGTTGTAGTGGTGTCTTGATTTGTTGTAGTGCAATCTGGTATTGTTGTAGTAGTATCTTGATTTGTTGTAGTGCAATCTGGTATTGTTGTAGTAGTGTCTTGATTTGTTGTAGTGCAATCTGGTATTGTTGTAGTAGTATCTTGATTTGTTGTAGTGCAATCTGGTATTGTTGTAGTGGTGTCTTGATTTGTTGTAGTGCAATCTGGTATTGTTGTAGTAGTATCTTGATTTGTTGTAGTGCAATCTGGTATTGTTGTAGTAGTATCTTGATTTGTTGTAGTGCAATCTGGTATTGTTGTAGTAGTATCTTGATTTGTTGTAGTGCAATCTGGTATTGTTGTAGTGGTGTCTTGATTTGTTGTAGTGCAATCTGGTATTGTTGTAGTAGTATCTTGATTTGTTGTAGTGCAATCTGGTATTGTTGTAGTAGTGTCTTGATTTGTTGTAGTGCAATCTGGTATTGTTGTAGTAGTATCTTGATTTGTTGTAGTGCAATCTGGTATTGTTGTAGTTGTGTCTTGATTTGTTGTAGTGCAATCTGGTATTGTTGTAGTAGTGTCTTGATTTGTTGTAGTGCAATCTGGTATTGTTGTAGTAGTATCTTGATTTGTTGTAGTGCAATCTGGTATTGTTGTAGTAGTATCTTGATTTGTTGTAGTGCAATCTGGTATTGTTGTAGTAGTGTCTTGATTTGTTGTAGTGCAATCTGGTATTGTTGTTGTAGTATCTTGATTTGTTGTAGTGCAATCTGGTATTGTTGTAGTAGTGTCTTGATTTGTTGTAGTGCAATCTGGTATTGTTGTAGTTGTGTCTTGATTTGTTGTAGTGCAATCTGGTATTGTTGTAGTAGTGTCTTGATTTGTTGTAGTGCAATCTGGTATTGTTGTAGTGGTGTCTTGATTTGTTGTAGTGCAATCTGGTATTGTTGTAGTAGTATCTTGATTTGTTGTAGTGCAATCTGGTATTGTTGTAGTTGTGTCTTGATTTGTTGTAGTGCAATCTGGTATTGTTGTAGTAGTATCTTGATTTGTTGTAGTGCAATCTGGTATTGTTGTAGTTGTGTCTTGATTTGTTGTAGTGCAATCTGGTATTGTTGTAGTAGTGTCTTGATTTGTTGTAGTGCAATCTGGTATTGTTGTAGTAGTATCTTGATTTGTTGTAGTGCAATCTGGTATTGTTGTAGTAGTATCTTGATTTGTTGTAGTGCAATCTGGTATTGTTGTAGTAGTGTCTTGATTTGTTGTAGTGCAATCTGGTATTGTTGTAGTAGTATCTTGATTTGTTGTAGTGCAATCTGGTATTGTTGTAGTAGTGTCTTGATTTGTTGTAGTGCAATCTGGTATTGTTGTAGTTGTGTCTTGATTTGTTGTAGTGCAATCTGGTATTGTTGTAGTAGTGTCTTGATTTGTTGTAGTGCAATCTGGTATTGTTGTAGTAGTATCTTGATTTGTTGTAGTGCAATCTGGTATTGTTGTAGTAGTGTCTTGATTTGTTGTAGTGCAATCTGATATTGTTGTAGTAGTGTCTTGATTTGTTGTAGTGCAATCTGGTATTGTTGTAGTTGTGTCTTGATTTGTTGTAGTGCAATCTGGTATTGTTGTAGTAGTGTCTTGATTTGTTGTAGTGCAATCTGGTATTGTTGTAGTAGTATCTTGATTTGTTGTAGTACAATCTGGTATTGTTGTAGTAGTGTCTTGATTTGTTGTAGTGCAATCTGGTATTGTTGTAGTAGTGTCTTGATTTGTTGTAGTGCAATCTGGTATTGTTGTAGTTGTGTCTTGATTTGTTGTAGTGCAATCTGGTATTGTTGTAGTAGTGTCTTGATTTGTTGTAGTGCAATCTGGTATTGTTGTAGTAGTATCTTGATTTGTTGTAGTACAATCTGGTATTGTTGTAGTGGTGTCTTGATTTGTTGTAGTGCAATCTGGTATTGTTGTAGTTGTGTCTTGATTTGTTGTAGTGCAATCTGGTATTGTGGTAGTGGTGTCTTGAAGTGTTGTAGTGCATTCTGGTGTTGTTGTAGTTGTGTCTTGATTTGTTGTAGTGCAATCTGGTATTGTTGTAGTAGTGTCTTGATTTGTTGTAGTGCAATCTGGTATTGTTGTAGTAGTGTCTTGATTTGTTGGAATGCAATCTGGTATTGTTGTAGTTGTGTCTTGATGTGTTGTAGTGCAATCTGGTATTGTTGTAGTAGTGTCTTGATTTGTTGTGGTGCAATCTGGTATTGTTGTAGTAGTGTCTTGAAGTGTTGTAGTGCATTCTGGTGTTGTTGTAGTTGTGTCTTGATTTGTTGTAGTGCAATCTGGTATTGTTGTAGTAGTGTCTTGATTTGTTGTAGTGCAATCTGGTATTGTTGTAGTTGTGTCTTGATGTGTTGTAGTGCAATCTGGTATTGTTGTAGTAGTGTCTTGATTTGTTGTAGTGCAATCTGGTATTGTTGTAGTAGTGTCTTGAAGTGTTGTAGTGCATTCTGGTGTTGTTGTAGTTGTGTCTTGATTTGTTGTAGTGCAATCTGGTATTGTTGTAGTGGTGTCTTGATTTGTTGTAGTGCAATCTGGTATTGTTGTAGTAGTGTCTTGATTTGTTGTAGTGCAATCTGGTATTGTTGTAGTAGTGTCTTGATTTGTTGTAGTGCAATCTGGTATTGTTGTAGTGGTGTCTTGATTTGTTGTAGTGCAATCTGGTATTGTTGTAGTAGTATCTTGATTTGTTGTAGTGCAATCTGGTATTGTTGTAGTTGTGTCTTGATTTGTTGTAGTGCAATCTGGTATTGTTGTAGTAGTATCTTGATTTGTTGTAGTGCAATCTGGTATTGTTGTAGTAGTGTCTTGATTTGTTGTAGTGCAATCTGGTATTGTTGTAGTGGTGTCTTGATTTGTTGTAGTGCAATCTGGTGTTGTTGTGGTTGTGTCTAATTCTGTTGTAGTTGTCGCAGGTGTAGTGGTAGTGGTGTCAGGTTCTGTTGTTGTAGTATCTTGTGTTGTTGTGGTGGTGCCAAGTGTTGTTGTAGTGGTGTCAGGCTCTGTTGTTGTAGTATCTTGTGTTGTTGTTGTGGTGCCAAGTGTAGTCGTTGTGGTGTCTGATTTTGTTGTTGTGAGATCAGGTGTTGTTGTAGTACTGTCGGTTGTTGTAAATGTTTCTTGTGTTGTTGTAGTGGTTTCTGGTGTTGTAGTCGTAGTTGTTGGTGTTGTTGTAGTGGTAGTTGGTGTTGTCGTAGTTGTAGTTGGCGTTGATGTCGTGGTAGTTGGCGTTGTTGTAGTGGTAGTTGGCGTTGTTGTCGTTGTAGTTGGTGTTGTTGTCGTGGTAGTTGGCGTTGTTGTAGTGGTAGTTGGTGTTGTTGTTGTAGTTGTTCTTGTTGTTGTAGTGGTAGTTGGAGTTGTTGTAGTTGTTGTTCTGGTTGTTGTTGTAGTTGTCGTTGATGAAGTTGTAGTTTGCGGGCAGTAGTAATCTACCCAAGGCTTTAACATTGCGTCTAGTGCAGCTGACTCGATCGAGGTACTGAATGTTGGACAGCTAGTGACAGCTAAATCCATTACACAGGCTTTTGCTTTAATCGCCCAGCTGAGAAAATATATTTTTTACTATATAACCAAATATCGCAATCAATTTTACTTTCTTGTATACGAAGTATTGAGAAAGTATTGTAATCGTGCAAAAAAAAATCGAGATTTTTGCAAATCTCGACGTTTTACACCTCCCTGAGTCGAAAAAACATAGTTTTGCAATTTTGTCCATATGTCTGTGTGTGTATGTGTGTGTCTGTGTGTGAGCACTATAACTTTAGTACCGTTACAGTTAGGTTGATGAAATTTGATATATAAGTATTATATCAAATTTGTACTTCTGTAGTAACTTTTCAGCGATTTCCGATAACCTGAAGTTGAACTTATTCTAATTTCAATTTTTCAAAAGCCTATAGCTTGAGAACTGTTTCAGATAGATAAATGAAATTTCACATGTAAGTAAAAGATCTAATTCTCTGCCTTCTGTCAAATGTTGGGCGATATAAAGTATTTAAAAACTGGTTAGTTACAAAAAGCCTTATTGGACAATAGAAAATGGTCTAACAAGATAGGTATTTATCAACATTTAAGTGATTTCCAGCAAAAGATACTTTATATTAGATTTGTCTAAAACCTTCACAATTTGTAAATTTTCTATTATTCTCTCACATAGCAGCATATTCTAATAGCTTTTAGACTTTTTCTACCTTCTACTTCCCGATTCCACTAGAGTTGATACCCGTTTTATTTATTTATTTATTCGATTTACTAGGGAGGAGGAACGATAAGTTTATAAAGTGAAAATGTCAATAAGTTTTTGTGGAGTGAGGATATTAGCATCAGTGGGAAAATATATGACTTGTCTATAGTCTCAATATGGTGAGACTTGTGGTATCAGGTGCCATAGAGCGGTGAGACTTGGGCTGTCAGAGGCAGAATGGTGAGACTTTGGCTGTCAGAGGCAGAATGGTGAGACTTGGGCTGTCAGAGGCAGAATGGTGAGACTTGGGCTGTCAGAGGCAAAATGGTGAGACTTTGGCTGTCAGAGGCAGAATGGTGAGACTGGCTGTCAGAGGCAGAATGGTGAGACTTGGGCTGTCAGAGGCAGAATGGTGAGACTTGGGCTGTCAGAGGCAGAATGGTGAGACTTGGGCTGTCAGAGGCAAAATGGTGAGACTTTGGCTGTCAGAGGCAGAATGGTGAGACTGGCTGTCAGAGGCAGAATGGTGAGACTGGCTGTCAGAGGCAGAATAGTGAGACTTTGGCTGTCAAAGGCAGAATAGTGAGACTTTGGCTGTCAGAGGCAGAATGGTGAGACTGGCTGTCAGAGGCAGAATGGTGAGACTTTGGCTGTCAGAGGCAGAATGGTGAGACTGGCTGTCAGAAGCAGAATGGTGAGACTTTGGCTGTCAGAGGCAGAATGGTGAGACTGGCTGTCAGAGGCAGAATGGTGAGACTTTGGCTGTCAGAGGCAGAATGGTGAGACTGGCTGTCAGAAGCAGAATGGTGAGACTTTGGCTGTCAGAGGCAGAATGGTGAGACTTTGGCTGTCAGAGGCAGAATGGTGAGACTTTGGCTGTCAGAGGCAGAATGGTGAGACTTTGGCTGTCAGAGGCAGAATGGTGAGACTTTGGCTGTCAGAGGCAGAATGGTGAGACTTTGGCTGTCAGAGGCAGAATGGTGAGACTTTGGCTGTCAGAGGCAGAATGGTGAGACTTTGGCTGTCAGAGGCAGAATGGTGAGACTTTGGCTGTCAGAGGCAGAATGGTGAGACTTTGGCTGTCAGAGGCAGAATGGTGAGACTTTGGCTGTCAGAGGCAGAATGGTGAGACTTTGGCTGTCAGAGGCAGAATGGTGAGACTTTGGCTGTCAGAGGCAGAATGGTGAGACTTTGGCTGTCAGAGGCAGAATGATGAGGTTTGGGCTGTCAGATGAGTGGCATCAAACCGTGAGACTTGGGACATCTGTGGCCTTAGAACTCGGATGCCTAGGATGCCCAGCAAAGTGTGGAAGCGAGCGACACTCAGATATGTGTTAAGAAGAGCTTGTAAAGGCTGTGTACAGCTTGATTGCAGCTAAATATTTATGTCGCGTGAATTAGTTACAATTATTTAACATTTGGGAACATCTACAAAGAGCTAAAATGTACTTCAACTACGGAACAAATTATCAATAATTCAACAAAAATATTAATTCAAAACATTGACTTCGAAATTTTCACATTGACTTACTCGCAATTGTCTGTATATATAACATCACCACACCTCTGAAAATCCCTCTGAAATTGATTTAATTTTCCTTTGTTTTGTAGACAAGTAAGGAATTGAACGAAATCTGAAAAATATTTTTTGAAACACGTTTAGTTGCTTAAAAAAACATATATCTCTATATAAACACTTGATTACGTCTTAAAATATTAATATGTTTTGTTTTCTATTTTCTGTTCTTGGCCGTCTTAATTACATTGGCACAACGATGATCATATAGGCCAAAGATAACGACATAGAGCAATGCGAGTTCATGTTCTGAAGCGATGGCAGATTTTAGAGGTGTAAAGTTACAACTGATTATAAATTATTATTGTATTGCAAGAATTTAGGTGATATTAATATTAAAATTGTTTGCATTCAGTTTTTTTTTAATCTTTAATCAAGATTTCATTTTTTTAAATTAAATGTGTTATCAACTGGCTTGTTTATACCTTTTGTTACATTTAGCGATAGGTAATTTATCACTGTATGATAGATTGACTACTTGCAATACCTAGACCACATTTTCTATTCACAAATAGTTATATTTAGAACAAATTTAAGATGTATTATCGCCATTTTTCGAGAAGACGTTTCCGCTTTTTAAAATTTGACTTTCTTGGCTCACAAAGAGTATCGTGAGAACAAGGGTAGCAGAGAACAATTGAACGGAGAGAACAATGTCAGCAGATTGTGAGATACGGAGTGATACAGTGTGTTGACCTGTAACAATGGAGGTCTGTCGGTGTTAATGGCATTCTTTCAACAGAGACTATTCATCAAGAATTAAACTATTGTAATCTCGAACCTGCAGAATGTGATGCGTTTTGTGAATGTGACAAGCCAGAGTCAAATTAGGAGTCCGCAGACTAGGCGCGCTATTCCTGGGCGCGTACGAATACGTACACGGCAAGTGGTTACACACCACTGTCGCATGTAAATGCTGCCAGAAGGGTTAAACCCATCAAAGAACGTTACACGTCTGTCACGATTGGCTGTGATGGCAGGTTGGAATGACGAAACACAAATCAACAAGGTTACACATAGGTGTAGCTATAAGTTCTGACTTACAGTCCGAGCCCTGCTGGGTACAGAGGTAGGTGTAGGACCCTGCCTGCTTGAGATATGGTCCCCATGTAGTACGAGGACAGTCGGCCAGTACGGCATTTGCACAGGTGGCTCCCCTGTCAAAGTATTTTTTCAGAGTTATATAACAATGTCAAATGCTTAACAAAATTATAATAATTATGAAATAATAATACAAAGTATAATAATAATAATAATAATAATAATAATAATAATAATAATAATAATAATAATAATAATAATAATAGTAATAATAATAATAATAATAATAATAATAATAATAATAATAATAATAATAGAAATATTAATAATAATAATTATTATTATTATTATTATTATTATTAGTATTATTATTATTATTATTATTATTATTATTACTATAATTATAATTATAATTATAATAACAATCAAAATGAATACAAGAAATTCTTTTCAAATTTTGTAAGATGGGTCGGAGAGTAGTGTACACGGCCTCTAACTTGAACTTACGCACAATACTGTTGTTTCGCAGTGACACTGTTCGTCAATAAATAGCCCCAGTCTTTAAACTTTAATAAATTGTCCCACACGGTATTCAAACACGTATCAGCGTTGGTCAGAGAACAGGTAGCTGTAGAGATAAATAGTTACAATTCTAGTATTGGTGCATAGTTACATTTTACAGTAAGATTGTATACACATCGGTATATAGTTAACAAGTTGTTAGGTGGAATTTAGTGTTGAAGCCAGGTTCAATGATGCAGCTGTAGGTGGAGGGGAGGGGGCAAGACCGTAAAACTGAAATCCACCATTTCACTGTAGCGCATAATTGCTGAAATCATGACTCCTTATTCTACAAAAACGCAAAATCACGAGATTGTCATTAAAATTTCATGTGTCAGCAAAAGTTACATCAATGGAATATGCTGAAGACAACAGTTCCTCAGAGACTTCAAGCAAATCCTCAGAGAATTCAAACGATACTAATTTGTTCTTTAGATAACAATTTCAAAAATATATTTAAAATTATTACACAACATTGAGTATTTTATTTATACTTCCTTAAAAGGTGTAGGCTCCGGGAAAAACTTTTAAAATAATAAGCCTTATTTATTTGTTAGTGTATTTAAGTTAGTGTACTAAAAGGAAAATAAGTGAATGCATTGTGGACTCTTCTGAAAGAATGTTTTCCATCGCAACGGCGGCGATCTTGAAAAAAACAACCAGTTGTCGAAGTCTCAAGGTAAAAAAAAAGTTAATATTAATCATAAAATCATATACTTTTCTTTTACTAACTCTAATAGAGTCCTCTGACTACGTTTTGTAACAGAAAATTCTCTAGAAATTTTTTTTCGAATTTCAAAATGTTTGGTATGGTGTAATAATATTAAACTTAATGCTGAATATAATGGTACTTCCAAAAAAGAAATTATCAGGTGTGTTTTATTTTGAGTTTTCTTCAGGGTTTTTGTCCGGAGCCTATCCCCTTTCAGCACAAGTATAGAACATTCCCCTCAGGTACTTGATGAACAGATAAGGAAGGTAAATTTGAATTTTCAGACAGTTACGTAAATATCAAACGTGTATGCTTCATTTTATACGAATTGTGGCTTGTATAATATAATGTTATTAAAATTTGTAAACTAAATTATCTGTGTATCTGTGCGTGGTTTGAATGTTGCTATGAATGTTTTCAATTCACAACTACAAGTTTCAATGTGTCTCTATTCTTTATGTCGGTGTATTTATTTTAAATAAAACAGTTGAAAAGATTGCTGTAGGGTTGAGGAGCGTTGGTTGACTTTTTAATTTAATAGGAGGGCGGTAGATTGAAATAGTGTGGAGAAAATTAAAAATGTAACAATATTATATCTAAGTTTTATGCTAAAAATGAATTCAGGCTTTTAAAAATAGAGCACCATCTTAAAACCACAAAGGCTAGTCAAATTATTAAAACAACTTTTACAATCGAACGAATTCAAACCAAAAAAAATACATAAAATCTTCACTTGAATATGTAATTATAGACAAAATACCAACAAAATTCATAACATATTTACAGGAAACTGTAATTATACGAACCTGCATTAGACAGCTGAATACAAAGCAGAAAAATGAAAATCCTCATATTTGAATATTTCCGTGGTAGCTATTGAGATTCGTCCTTTGAAAACACTTTCTCGACTGAATGACTTAACATCTTATACTCAGATAAATACCCACCTTTGATCTTGGTAACAGTGGACAGATATAATCTGTTTAATAATGTTTAATTGATATCGATGAGTTCAATGTTGTTGGCCTCACTTGTCCATTAAAGACACATAAATATGAGGAAAATCAATGTTGTATACAGAAGATTTAAGGATAATTTAGGATGACGATGTAGAATACAGGAGGTGGAAACAGAATACAGTATGAGGATGGATAATACAGGAGAATGATGAAACTGAAGTAAGGAATATTAGGAAGAGGAATGAAAAATAAAGGTGGCTGGGGTATGCATAAGTAGAATGGAGCAAACAAGAGGTGGTTTGAGCAAATAGGACGATGAAGTATACAGATATAGGATGGAGCAGAGTGGAAGAATATGGGACATACAGGTGAATGGAACATACATTAGTTGCTAAAAAAAATTAAAGAATACAGTAAGTTTCAGAATCCATGCGACTATTTTCATATAGATTGATTTATTACTGGCACGTTCGTAACAAACTTTTACGCAGATGTTACATTGGGTATTTAAAATGTCCACCTTTTTATGTCCGCGTTGGCGTATTACAAATAAACAATGATTGATTTTTTTAGTGTCGACATTTTGTTTCTCTGTTTCTTCAGTAACCAAAAATATTTTCGATTTTCGATTTGCGAACCGCCAACGGTTCTACTGTGTTTTGGACTAAATAGCGGATGGGGAAAATTCGGTTCGGTTATATAAGATTAATAAAACTATTAATTTACCTGCACAAAATCAAAATAGTATGTCTTCTCTGAACTTTCTTTACCCACGACTTCGCCTACAAGAAGTAATGACAAAATACAGGTGATAAAACAAACTTGCTTTCAGTAGTAACATCATATGTCACTGAAATGTGTAATACATTATATGAGTGAACAAGCAATTCTGTTTTGTTTTTGTTTTTCAATTGTTTTTAATTTTATTAAAGATTATTATTTAAATCTAAATTTATTTTTCATTTTTTTTTGTTCTTGAAGAAGATAAATGGCCGAAAATTGGGCACAATTATTTGCTCTTGCATGAAACCAAAATTCGAAACCAAAATTCGAAACCAACATTTCACTCCAACAACTCAATCACATCACACAAACAACACATACCAACAACACAGCCGCGCCACACAGCAACAAGTAAACGTAACAACACAGCTACAGCACATAACAACAACAGAGCCACGCCAAACACCAACAATGTATTCCTACCACACACAAACAACGAAGCAAAAACTACGCACCAACAACCCAGCCAAACCACACACAACAACACAGCCACAGCCACACCAAAAACCACCACTTACACACCAACAACGAAAACACATCGCATTTATTTTAATCATCATCATCAAATTGTACTTCTCCTCATACCCCTCCTACACACACATACCTATTATTGTATTGCACGAAATCGACCTTTATAAAGAGAAAACATTTTAATTGCGCGTGTCTTGTGCCTAGTGTCACAGCTCGGATGAACATTAAAAAAAAACATCGTTTTTAAATACATAAATATATGTGTATATATATATATATATATATATATATATATATATATATATATATATATATATATATATATATATATATAAACACACATATATATGTATATATTGTTGATTGTATAGCACTATACTACAGACGTTATAAAAAGAAAGACGTTAACATACAAGAGCAACCATCCCTCTGATAGAGAGATTTACCCCGGTACTCACGGCAGGAGAGAGAGGGCAAGATAGTTTGTACGTTTTAAGAGGGCTCAGTGTTTCTAATCATCAGCTTGATTCATTTTGTTTTATCAAAAAATAATTGAAAGTTTATTAAGGGAGGAGAGGTTTTGAAATCACGTGACTCCCAGTCCTATTGTGTGGGCTGCGTGCGTCATATACTTAAAAACCAATGTGACGTTTTATTTAAAGTAGGATTCAAAATCAATAGAAGCAAAACATAAGTAGTAAGAATCAATAGCAACCTAGATCTTCTCATACTAAAAAACGTGGGGGGAGGGGGGGGAATTTTGAAACGAAACAATTATGCGATGCGTCGTGAACACAACTGAAAGTGATACAAGATAACATAAGAACAAGTATAATAAAATAGATATTAAAAAAACTTTATAATAACAAGTATTTAAATGCATTAAAAATAATAAAATAAAGTAACTTCGCTTTCATTAATGAAAGCTTTGTTCATTTATGAAATCTCTTACATAATTTAGCGAAAGCTAGTATTTACGATTTTAATTAGAATCGTTTTCTAATATTTGCATTTATTTTTATTTTTTTAATTAACTTGTTCTTAATAATGTTGAGCCAACATTAGACTGTAAATATTTACCCCGATCGGTAAGTTGCGATCTATAAAAGACCTGTATTTGTCAGTTGGTCCTAGTTTGCAAACATGATGCAAAACATTGTGACGCCCGGTGCTTAATCATCTTTTTGTTATTGAACTTAGCTATCAATTAATGTATACACAATTCTAGCTATTAAAACAAATCTTATAATAGATTAAAAATAGCGTAACATTCTTTATGAATGAACACTGAACTCAAAGTTATCTAAAGGATAACGGGTGGTCTAGTATTTCCTAAAACTTTCTACTATTCATATTATGCGATTCTTTTTTTATATATATAATTTCTATTTTTTTGTTATATTTTAATTGTTATAGTAAATAGCCTTTTGTTTTTTTTCACTGGATGGTAGACTGTTTCACGGCAATCAAAGTTGATTACTAAAGAATCGTGCGCTTGTCGCATTCTGGCAAACGTCTTTCGTGAAAACACCCGTCTCCCGTCTCATTCATGTCGTGCATAATGTGGTGTACAATCTCACACAAAAACAACACTGTGAAATCAATAACAACTTCTTCATAATTATTTTTATGACAAAAGATGGAGATTAGTGTGTAGAGTGACGTGAATCGAGGCTGACATCACTTGAAGTAGAGTGTGTTATGACGTGGTGTGTTACCACGCACGTGTGGTGTGTTGAGACGTGATACAGTGTATGAAATGACATAGTTTGTCGTGACTTTAATTACATGCTGTGACATTTTGTGTGTAACATTTAGGGTGTAAAGATTTATTTTAACATGTAATAGTTAACGTGTGTTCTGTACTCATCTGTTTCGAGTTTTTTCAGATTTTTTTTCAGCAGAACAGGGTGGGAGACTTTTGAGAGAGGGTATTTGAAAATCTCGAAGAAATCGAAATAGGTTATGATTAGATGTGTTGTTTTTTGTTGTTTTTTTTTTCATGGATAATCTATTAAAGTACATAAATAGTTTAAATCCCTGAATGTTAATCGTCGAAAACATGATACGTTATGTTAGTACCACTGTTTGACCACTGTTTATCTTACAATAACTATCACAACAACAGCACCAGCTATCACTACTACACCACCAATTACCAGTACAACACCACCAGCCACCCAGACATCAACACCAGCTACAACTACAACTACAACTACACCAGTTAACTCTACAACAAAACAAACTACCAATACAACAAACATCACATAGATTTAAACTACTAAACTATTATACAACACGAGACACCACAAAAAACACAGGTTATCATCCACTGCTGGCATTATTAGGTAAAAAAAAAATTCGCATAGCTGTAATTAAAAACAAAATAGCATACATTTAACACCTACATCGCTAGATTAACTAGATTAATTTTCTGTCCCTTTTCTGAAGTTTAAAATTTTATGGAAACGGCTGTTTTGTTTACATTGGACACATTATGTAAGTTATATATTTCGTTGTTCATATAAAATCACTTATAGATAATCTGTTTAAACCATCGATAACTGATAGATAGAGAATGAAGAAAGAGATTGATAAATACAAATTGAGTTTAGATTAGATTTGTTTTTACATAAGAATAGATGCAAGGAAAGAACATAATTGTGTTCTGAATTTGCTGTATAAAAACAAGAAACAATGAAAAACAATAGTTTTCATTATTATTATGTTTATTGTTTTCTAAAATTTATTCTAAATTCTAGTTTTTAATTATTTATCTACTTATCCAAATGTCTATAAGTTTCTTAATTATAGTTTTTTTTTAAAGTATATAATAATTAACTTGTGTCCTAATGATCCTTTTTTTATTTGCAACGGTCGCCAGAACAAAAACAGGTCTTTTTGCCCAAGTAATTCACACACCCATTGGCTTGAATGACGGTCGATGGGAACTTCCCGTCTGAACAGCCACGCTCAACATCTGTCAAGGGAAATGTTGACAAGAATAATTTAGTAACCAAGGCTGATCCAATTGTGAAAGTATTTCAGAATTGAGACTATTAAATTACAATTTAAAAATGTGTTTTTTTTAAATACAAGATACTAAGAAAGAATACTCTAAAATTGTTATGTAATCACGCCATGTATTGAACCTAAAGACGTTGAGGGTAATAAAGGTATGGAAGGTTTTCTTTCGGGAATTGCAATCTCATGGCGACTTTTGGGTTTTGGATTAGTTTGGTCAAGAAGATTTGTTGTTTTGATTTTTTTAATATTCTGAACCTTGCAAGATAAGAGGCCACGAAACATTTTGGAGATTTGTATTCATGTTGTTAGCGTCTGTCAAATCATACTGTCGTGTGAAATATAGGCCTACATACTGTTTTTTGAAGATTACGTACATACTGTCGTAAGGTCATGGATACATAACGTCGTTGAGGATTGGATATACACTTTTGTGGAGTCATGGATAAATAATATCGTGGAGTTGTGAGGTTGATAAATATTAAACTCATCGTCAAAAAACGATACAACTGTTAAACATTTTTTAAAGAGCACAACTTGGCGTATTTACTACTACTACTACTACTACTACTACTACTACTACTACTACTACTACTACTACTACTACTACTACTACTTTTACATACGTTTTCCTGAAGTTGTTTGATATGTTGTTTTCACACAAGGTCCTGTGCACTTTACCACCTTGGTTTTCAGCCAGCCTAAGATATTTCCAGGGGCGGGGCATGCGTGGCATTTCGGTGTTTTAAAGCCAGTCTTGCATTTGTAGCAGTAACGAGTCGTAGGTGTTGTGTTTGGTGCCGATGTTGTGGTGGTAATATCAGGTGTTATTGTTATAGTTGTAGATATTATTGTGGTGGAGTCAGGGGTTGTTGTAATAGTGTCGGGTGTAGTTTTTTCTTGTGTTGTAGTGGTATCTGATGTTGTAGAAGTTTCGGGTGTGGTTGTAGTTATTTCTGGTGTTGTTGTGCCTGATGTTGTAGAAGTTTCGGGTGTGGTTGTAGTTATTTCTGGTGTTGTAGTTGTATCTGATGTTGTAGAAGTTTCGGGTGTGGTTGTAGTTATTTCTGGTGTTGTTGAGCCTGATGTTGTAGAAGTTTCGGGTGTAGTTGTAGTTATTTCTGGTGTTGTTGTGGTATCAGGTGTTGTAGAAGTTTCGGGTGTGGTTGTAGTAATTTCTGGTGTTGTAGTGGTATCTGATGTTGTAGAAGTGTGGGGTGTCGTTGTAGTTATTTCTGGTGTTGTAGTGGTATCTGATGTTGTAGAAGTGTCGGGTGTCGTTGTAGTTATTTCTGGTGATGTTGTGCCTGATGTTGTAGAAGTTTCGGGTGTCGTTGTAGTTATTTCTGGTGTTGTTGTGGTATCAGGTGTTGTAGAAGTTTCGGGTGTGGTTGTAGTAATTTCTGGTGTTGTAGTGGTATCTGATGTTGTAGAAGTGTGGGGTGTCGTTGTAGTTATTTCTGGTGTTGTAGTGGTATCTGATGTTGTAGAAGTGTCGGGTGTCGTTGTAGTTATTTCTGGTGATGTTGTGCCTGATGTTGTAGAAGTTTCGGGTGTCGTTGTAGTTATTTCTGGTGTTGTTGTGCCTGATGTTGTTGAAGTGTCGGGTGTGGGTGTAGTTATTTCTGGTGTTGTTGTGGTATCAGGTGTTGTGGAAGTGTCGGGTGTGGTTGTAGTTATTTCTGGTGTTGTTGTGCCTGATGTTGTAGAAGTTTCGGGTGTCGTTGTAGTTATTTCTGGTGTTGTTGTGCCTGATGTTGTAGAAGTTTCGGGTGTCGTTGTAGTTATTTCTGGTGTTGTAGTGGTATCAGGTGTTGTGGAAGTGTCGGGTGTGGTTGTAGTTATTTCTGGTGTTGTTGTGCCTGATGTTGTAGAAGTTTCGGGTGTCGTTGTAGTTATTTCTGGTGTTGTTGTGGTATCAGGTGTTGTAGAAGTGTCGGATGTCGTTGTAGTAATTTCTGGTGTTGTTGTGTCTGATGTTGTTGAAGTGTCGGGTGTGGGTGTAGTTATTTCTGGTGTTGTAGTGGTGTCTGATGTAGAAGTTTCGGGTGTGGTTGTAGTTATTTCTGGTGTTGATGTGCCTGATGTTGTAGAAGTTTCGGGTGTGGTTGTTGTTATTTCTGGTGTTGTTGTGCCTGATGTTGTAGAAGTTTCTGGTGTGGTTGTAGTTATTTCTGGTGTTGTATTGGTATCTGGTGTTGTAGAAGTTTCGGGTGTCGTTGTAGTTATTTCTGGTGTTATTGTGCCTGATGTTGTAGAAGTTTCGGGTGTGGTTGTAGTTATTTCTGGTGTTGTTGTGCCTGATGTTGTAGAAGTTTCGGGTGTGGTTGTAGTTATTTCTGGTGTTGATGTGCCTGATGTTGTAGAAGTTTCGGGTGTCGTTGTAGTTATTTCTGGTGTTGTTGTCGTGTCTGGTGTTGTAGAAAAGTTGGGAGTCGTCGTAGTTATTTCTGCTGTTGTTGTGGTATCAGGTGTTGTAGAAGTTTCGGGTGTGGTTGTAGTTATTTCTGGTGTTGTAGTGGTATCTGATGTTGTAGAAGTGTCGGGTGTGGTTGTTGTTATTTCTGGTGTTGTTGTGCCTGATGTTGTAGAAGTTTCGGGTGTCGTTGTAGTTATTTCTGGTGTTGTTGTGCCTGATGTTGTAGAAGTTTCGGGTGTCGTTGTAGTTATTTCTGGTGTTGTTGTGCCTAATATTGTAGAAGTTTCGGGTGTCGTTTTAGTTATTTCTGGTGTTGTTGTGGTATCTGATGTTGTAGAAGTTTCGGGTGTAGTTGTATTTATTTCTGGTGTTGTTGTCGTGTCTGCTGTTGTAGAAGTTTCAGGTGTCGTTGTAGTTATTTCTGGTGTTGAAGTGGTATCTGGTGTGGTAGAAGTTTCGGGTGTGGTTGTAGTTATTTCTGGTGTTGTAGTGGTGTCTGATGTTGTAGAAGTTTCGGGTGTGGTTGTTGTTATTTCTGGTGTTGTTGTGCCTAATGTTGTAGAAGTTTTGGGTGTGGTTGTAGTTATTTCTGGTGTTGTTGTCGTGTCTGGTGTTGTAGAAGTGTCGGGTGTGGTTGTTGTTATTTCTGGTGTTGTAGTGGTATCTGATGTTGTAGAAGTTTCGGGTGTGGTTGTAGTTATTTGTGGTGTTGTTGTGCCTGATGTTGTAGAAGTGTCGGGTGTGGTTGTAGTTATTTCTGGTGTTGTAGTGGTGTCTGATGTTGTAGAAGTTTCGGGTGTGGTTGTAGTTATTTCTGGTGTTGTTGTGCCTGATGTTGTAGAAGTTTCGGGTGTGGTTGAAGTTATTTCTGGTGTTGTTGTCGTGTCTGGTGTTGTAGAAGTGTCGGGTGTGGTTGTTGTTATTTCTGGTGTTGTAGTGGTATCTGATGTTGTAGAAGTTTCGGGTGTGGTTGTAGTTATTTGTGGTGTTGTTGTGCCTGATGTTGTAGAAGTTTCTGGTGTCGTTGTAGTTATTTCTGGTGTTGTTGTGGTATCTGATGTTGTAGAAGTTTCGGGTGTCGTTGTAGTTATTTCTGGTGTTGTTTTGCCTGATGTTGTAGAAGTTTCGGGTGTCGTTGAAGTTATTTCTGGTGTTGTTGTGGTATCTGATGTTGTAGAAGTTTCGGGTGTCGTTGTAGTTATTTCTGGTGTTGTTGTGCCTGATGTTGTAGAAGTTTCTGGTGTCGTTGTAGTTATTTCTGGTGTTGTTGTTGTATCTGATGTTGTAGAAGTTTCGGGTGTCGTTGTAGTTATTTCTGGTGTTGTTGTGCCTGATGTTGTAGAAGTTTCGGGTGTCGTTTTAGTTATTTCTGGTGTTGTTGTGCCTGATGTTGTAGAAGTTTCGGGTGTCGTTGAAGTTATTTCTGGTGTTGTAGTGGTATCTGATGTTGTAGAAGTTTCTGGTGTCGTTGTAGTTATTTCTGGTGTTGTTGTGGTATCTGATGTTGTAGAAGTTTCGGGTGTCGTTGTAGTTATTTCTGGTGTTGATGTGCCTGATGTTGTAGAAGTTTCGGGTGTCGTTGTAGTTATTTCTGGTGTTCTTGTGGTATCAGGTGTTGTAGAAGTTTCGGGTGTCGTTGTAGTTATTTCTGGTGTTGTTGTGCCTGATGTTGTAGAAGTTTCGGGTGTCGTTTTAGTTATTTCTGGTGTTGTTGTGCTTGATGTTGTAGAAGTTTCGGGTGTCGTTGAAGTTATTTCTGGTGTTGTAGTGGTATCTGATGTTGTAGAAGTTTCGGGTGTAGTTGTAGTTATTTCTGGTGTTGTTGTCGTGTCTGGTGTTGTTGAAGTTTCAGGTGTCGTTGTAGTTATTTCTGGTGTTGTTGTCGTGTATGGTGTTGTAGAAGTGTCGGGTGTGGTTGTTGTTATTTCTGGTGTTGTAGTGGTATCTGATGTTGTAGAAGTGTCGGGTGTGGTTGTTGTTATTTCTGGTGTTGTAGTGGTATCTGATGTTGTAGAAGTTTCGGGTGTGGTTGTAGTTATTTCTGGTGTTGTTGTGCCTGATGTTGTAAAAGTTTTGGGTGTGGTTGAAGTTATTTCTGGTGTTGTTGTGCCTGATGTTGTAGAAGTTTCGGGTGTGGTTGTAGTGATTTCTGGCGTTGTAGTGGTACCTGATGTTGTAGAAGTTTCGGGTGTGGTTGTAGTAATTTCTGGTGTTGTTGTGGTATCAGGTGTTGTAGAAATTTCGGGTGTCGTTGTAGTTATTTCTGGTGTTGTTGTGCCTGATGTTGTAGAAGTTTCGGGTGTCGTTGTAGTTATTTCTGGTGTTCTTGTGGTATCAGGTGTTGTAGAAGTGTCGGGTGTCGTTGTAGTTATTTCTGGTGTTGTTGTGCCTGATGTTGTAGAAGTTTCGGGTGTCGTTGTAGTTATTTCTGGTGTTGTAGTGGTATCTGGTGTTGTAGAAGTGTCGGGTGTGGTTGTAGTTATTTCTGTTGTTGTGGTGTCTGGTGTTGAAGAAGTTTCGGGTGTCGTTGTAGTTATTTCTGATGTTGTTGTGGTGTCTGGTGTTGTAGTACTTGTAGTGGTAGTGGTAGTTGGTGTTGTGGTCGTGGTAGTTGGTGTTGTTGTAGTTGTAGTGGTAGTGGTAGTGGATGTTCTTGTTGTTGTAGTTGTGGTTGATGTAGTTGTTGTTGGCAGGCAGTAGTACTCTATCCAAGGCTTCAACATTGCATCTAATGCAGCTGACACAATCAATTGATTGAAATATGTGCAGTCAGTGGCAGATATACCCATCACACAAGCTTTTGATTTTCTCGCCCACCTGTGGAGAGAAGAGCGTTGATTAAATAATCCCAAAAATCACAGTGTTTTTAGAATATATCTATTTTGGGCGAAATATGTAATTTAAAATAGTATATTCCAACCACTCTCAATATGCGTTGTCTACCTGTTTAAAAATTAAAAAGAAGAGTACCTTGGTTTATATTTTTTTTTTTATTTTAATAGTTTTCTTTTCAGGTATAGTGATTTTATTTTTAATTTCTCACATATGGATTTTAGAGAAAGTATTGTAACTGTAAAAACTCAAAATGGAGATTTTGACAACTCTGGACATTTTATACCTCTCCGAGTCGGAAAAACCTAGTTTTTCGATCTTTTATGTATGTGTATGTGTGTGTGTGTGTGTGTGTGTGTTTGTGTGTGTATGTGTGTGTGGTGTGTGTGTATGTGTGTGTGCGTATGTCAATGTGTGTGTGAGAGTGTGTGTGTGTGTGTGAGTGTGTGTGTGTGTGTGTGTGCGTGTGCGTGTGTGTGTGTGTATGAACATGATAACTTAAGTGACGTTACACATAGTTGGACGAATATAAATATTGCTATTGTAGTTTACCCATTTTGTTTAGTTGTGCATATTTACATAGTCTATTTGGGATGTTGGCCTCAAGATTGTGCAATTGGGATGTAGTTGGCCTCAAGATTGTGAGGTTTGGGATGTAGTTGGCCTCAAGCTCAAGATTGTGTAATTGGGATGTAGTTGGTCTCAAGATTGTGTAATTGGGATGTAGTTGGCCTCAAGATTGTGTAATTGGGATGTAGTTGGCCTCAAGATTGTCAGGTTTGGGATGTTGTTGGCCTCAAGATTGTCAGGTTTGGGATGTTGTTGGCCTCAAGATTGTGAGGTTTGGGATGTTGTTGGCCTCAAGATTGTGAGGTTTGGGATGTAGTTGGCCTCAAGATTGTGTAATTGTGATGTAGTTGGCCTCAAGATTGTGTAATTGGGATGTAGTTGGTCTCAAGATTGTGTAATTGGGATGTAGTTGGCCTCAAGATTGTGTAATTGGGATGTAGTTGGCCTCAAGATTGTGTAATTGGGATGTAGTTGGCCTCAAGATTGTGAGGTTTGGGATGTAGTTGGCCTCAAGATTGTGTAATTGGGATGTAGTTGGCCTCAAGATTGTGAGGTTTGGGATGTAGTTGGCCTCAAGATTGTGTAATTGGGATGTTGTTGGCCTCAAGATTGTGTAATTGGGATGTAGTTGGCCTCAAGATTGTGTAATTGGGATGTAGTTGGCCTCAAGATTGTGTAATTGGGATGTTGTTGGCCTCAAGATTGTCAGGTTTGGGATGTTTTTGGCCTCAAAATTGTGAGGTTTGGGATGTTTAATTTTTCGGTCTCGGTACAAAATAGTGGAAGCGAACGACAAGAAGATTCCATTTTTGGAGAGGCTGGATATTATGGATGGATACGGTTTTATCTCAATACTGTGAAGCTAATCAACCACATACTAGCGACCAGTAGCGAACCCCAAATTTCCCCATATACTTACTCGCACTTATCGCTAGCTTGAACATTACCGCAGTTCAGAAACTCCCGCTGGAAATGAGCTAAAGTTTTACAGTTTCTTAGACAATTTAGGAATTGAACGAAATCTGGGGAAAAACAAGCAAAAAGCCATCTTTATATGCTTAAAAGTAACAAAAAACCTGCTTTAATACACAAAAAGATAAAAACATAAAAGACGATGTGTTTTAAAGATACAGCAACTTGCCACTTAAAATTAGCAAATGAAAAACGGTAAAGGTTTCAACGGTATCATGATGTTTTTGTTTTAATATTTATAATTTCGAAACTCCTGTGATATTTATTGCATTCTTTTTTTTATATTCTTATTTAAAGCTTCAACTTCTAAATAAATTGTGTTTGTGTGATGTTGCTCTTTTATATTGTACACTTGCACTCGTGTCATTGTGTATCGTCTTGAACTGCTTTCTCATTTGGGTTAATTTCAAGTACTATTTATCTCAGTTCAATGAAGGAAATATTTTTCAAGAAAAAAATGTTTGTGGCGATTTGCTGTAGACTGGATTATTTAGACCTGATTTTATATTTTTCAATCGTTTATTTAGAAAAAACAGATTCGCCATATTATTGTTTCATAATTAACTTCTTCACATACACAATTAATTGATTTTGTTAGGCTTTAAAATACAAATAGAAAATAAGTTTTGTTAAACAAGACAAATTTTCATTCACTGAACATGAGTGGTCAATTTAAATTTTACTGGGATGAAGGATCATAGTGATCGAGGGGATTACATGACAGTGCTGAAACGACACAAAGCACAAAAGCTATAGCTTCTACCGTGACTCACCATAGCTGCCTTGCTGGCTACAGAGGTACGTGTAGGTCCCTGCCTGCAGAAGATATGGGGGCCATGTGTCGCGTGGACAGTTGGTTAACACGTCAGTGGCACAGGTAGCTCCTCTGTCAAATGTTTTTAAACAATATATCAAGAAAAAAAAATAAGAATAAGAAATAAGCAATGACAAATGACAAATGACAAAGGACAAAGGACAAAGGACAAAGGACAAAGGGCAAATGACAAATGACAAATGACAAATGACAAATGGCAAATGGCAAATGGCAAATGACAAATGACAAATGACAAATGACAAACGACAAATGACAAATGACAAATGACATGAACATCAACGCCAACCTCAATGTGAACGTGAACGTAAACGTGAACATTAACGTTAACGTTTACATTAACATTAACATTAACATTAACATTAACATTAACATTAACATTAACATTAACATTAACATTAACATTAACATTAACATTAACATTAACATTAACATTAACATTAACATTAACATTAACATTAACATTAACATTAACATTAACATTAACATTAACATTAACATTAACATTAACATTAACATTAACATTAACATTAACATTAACATTAACATTAACATTAACATTAACATTAACATTAACATTAACATTAACATTAACATTAACATTAACATTAACATTAACATTAACATTAACATTAACATTAACATTAACATTAACATTAACATTAACATTAACATTAACATTAACATTAACATTAACATTAACATTAACATTAACATTAACATTAACATTAACATTAACATTAACATTAACATTAACATTAACATTAACATTAACATTAACATTAACATTAACATTAACATTAACATTAACATTAACATTAACATTAACATTAACATTAACATTAACATTAACATTAACATTAACATTAACATTAACATTAACATTAACATTAACATTAACATTAACATTAACATTAACATTAACATTAACATTAACATTAACATTAACATTAACATTAACATTAACAAACATTAACAAACATTAACATTAACATTAACATTAACATTAACATTAACATTAACATTAACATTAACATTAACATCTACATCAACATCAACATCAACATCAACATCAACATCAACATCAACATCAACATCAACATCAACATCAACATCAACATCAACATCAACATCAACATCAACATCAACATCAACATCAACATCAACATCAACATCAACATCAACATCAACATCAACAGCAACATTAACATTAACATTAACATTAACATTAACATTAACATTAACATTAACATCAACATCAACATCAACATCAACATCAACATCAACATCAACATCAACATCAACATCAACATCAACATCAACATCAACATCAACATCAACATCAACATCAACATCAACATCAACATCAACATCAACATCAACATCAACATCAACATCAACATCAACATCAACATCAACATTAACATTAACATTAACATTAACATTAACATTAACATTAACATTAACATTAACATTAACATTAACATTAACATTAACATTAACATTAACATTAACATTAACATTAACATTAACATTAACATTAACATTAATACAATAAATACAAAAACAAAGACTAGATAACCAACAACTAAAACCTTAACAACAACGATAACGATAACGATAGCGATAACAATAAATTTAACTCTTATTATAACTTTAACGTAAAAGATAAAGATATTAACAATACATCTTTAATCTGTTTGACATCATAAAATCGTTTAACTATATCGAACTACAAGCCTGCCTTTAACGTTTTAGTATTATTCAACATTAACATTCATAACATTACCTTCTGACTTCACATCAAGTTAGAAATAGTTTTAAAAGCGTAAACAACTTACACACAATACTGGTTCCTCGCAAACACATTGTAAACGAATAAAAAATTCCAGTCAGTAAACTGATACAACTTGCTCCACACGGTATTCAAACATGTATCCGTGTTGCTCAGTGAACATGTCGCTGTAGAGATAAATAGTTACACTTACAGTATTGTTGCATGGTAACATTTTACTGTAATATTTTATATACATTGTTATCGTGTAAACAAGCTGTGAGTAGGGTATACATGATTAAAATCAGGTTTAATGGTTTTATTATCAACATAAACTGATTGCCGTAGGAGTTAAGTGGAGCACCAGACTGATTTCAAAGATGAACGGTACACAGACAAGTTGGAGGCTGAAAACCATTCAGAACAGCTGATTGTATTGATAACACAGCTCATAAAATAAAAACAAAGCCGGTAAATTTTATTAACACGTTTTTATTAACTCAGCTTCGCGTGGATGTGTTTGTTGTTAAAATTGACATCGAAAATTAGCCCACTTCTGATTGCTCTATAGATCTGAAATTTGGCATGCAGGTTACTTTCGCCTAACAATTTCAGATGCAATCATAAAAACTAGCAATTAGAGACCGTAATTAGCTTAATTTAATTACGCCCAAAGGACCATAAAATTGAGGACATGATTTCTAAAGATACCGACAAGACTGGAGGCTTGTTGACACAGTTACTTCGGCCCCAATCGATGTGAGCGCGCTGGCCGTGATCGTATAGTGGTTAGTACTTCGCGTTGTGGCCGCGACAACCCAGGTTCGAATCCTGGTCGCTCAAGATTTTTTTAGTCCGTGTATTTATAAACACTTTTTTAAAAACCACGTTTTTCATGTGTAGCAACGGACTAAAAAGGAGAAAATAAAATACTTAAAAAATACTTTTTAAAAAACCACGTTTTTCTTGTGGACTAAAAAGTAGAAAATAACTATTTTCATACATTTGATGACAAAAAACGTGGGTCGGGCAGATGGGTCGGGAAATTTGATGGTGAACGTACCCACGTTTTTTGTCATCAAATGTATGAAAATAGTTATTTTCTACTTTTTAGTCCACAAGAAAAACGTGGTTTTTTAAAAAGTATTTTTTAAGTATTTTATTATAAAATGTTAAAACGTCCCACAAAAACCAATTTAATATCTCTCTCTGTATATATATATATATATATATATATATATATATATATATATATATATATATATATATATATATATATATATATATATATATATATATAATTCTCTTCTTGGAGACCATAGAAAACACTAAGCTGTAAGCGCAATCCCTACCACCCCCACCTCTACATGGTCTGGTTAGCTGTGGTTTACGCTAAATGATTACAACCGTAGAGCCGAATTTAGTGACGGCAATTAGGGGCAGATAATTTACTTTGAAACTATTTTAAACTTAGGGGAGGTAACTAAGAGGAGGCTGCTGTCACGAGGGAGGTATGGGGTTGGGAAAGGCGGGGGGGTGGGTATCGTCCTTAACGAGTTACTGGTAGTGTTTTAAAGCAAATATATTCAGTGGCAGCATTGGTACTGTCGAATACACAAATTATGAATTACTGAAAAGTAGAAAATAAAACAACTAAAGAGCGGCGTATGATATGCCGCAAGTCGGCTCGTATATATATAATTCTCTTCATGGGGACCATGCAGGACAAGACGTAGACGTACGCCGTTACTCCTCCGCTCTCCAGGCAAATCCCTACCACCCACATCCCCACCAATCTGGTGAGCTTTGGTTTACGACGAATGTTTACAATCGTAGAGCTGTTTACAATCGTAGAGCGGGGTTGGTGACGGCTATAAGGGGCAGATAATTTAGTATTAAACGATTTGAAATAAAGGGGAGGTAACAATTTCAAATTGATCTTTTCATTGTCTGTAAACAGCCGCTTTCGATGGGGGGGGGGGGGTTGTGTTGAATTCACAAACAAATTATGAATAGCTGATAAGCAGAAAATAAAACAACAAAATGGTGGCGGATGCTACGTCGCGGGTCAGCTCGTATTTTATAAACTGGCTGGGAACGATGTACTCGGATGGTAGAGTTACGACTTCCGTCGGACCAGAAGGTCTCGAGTATTTGGGACGTCCCTGCTCTGATTGGTACTTGGGGGTCATCCATAAATGACGCTTTTTTGACGATTATACCTCCCCCCCTCCCCCTCCTATCCGTCACACGTCGTCACAAAAAGCCAGACCCCCCCCCCCCCCCCATAAATGACGGCACACCTCAACCTACAACCCACCTCAAAAATGCTGTTGAATTTTTTTTTTTTAAACGTCGATATTTTTCCAAAATCTTGTCAGAACTTTGTCAACATACAGTATTTTAATTAATTCCTATTACAATTTATTAAAACAGTTTTCTAAAACGAGGAAATAACGGCTAAAACTCGTTTTCTAACTTTGCTTTTTTATAATGCAAAAAAGTGAAGTCACACCATCTGAACCCCCCGCCCTCCCCCTCATCACACACCGTCACAAAATTACGGACCCCCTACGAGTGTGACGTCATTTATGAACGACCCCCTTGTCTCTCGCTCGGAAAAATCAAGACGGCTTGTCGTTCAAACAGATTAACTGTATTTCCTCTGTCCCCCGAGTTGTGTGCATGAACGGGAAAAGACGATAGAATGGCTTATACAATCGATCCGAAAGAAACCAACATTCTATAAAATGTATTAAACAACGCATATAATTAAAAAAACAATACATTTTTTAAAGGTTATTACAGTACAAGCGATTGAATAAAAAACAAAGTGACTTGTTTTCTAAAATGTTCATACAGTGCACACATATAAAATAAATTACAATCATACGGACCTGCATATGCCAGTTGTAAACAAAGAAAGAATATGAAAATCCTCATCATTGGCTTGGCTTGAATATTTCTGATGTATCTAGAGCTACTCACTCTTTAAGAACACTCTCCCTACTGCATTCAAACGAATTACTTATCGCATTATAGCCAGAAATTATGCTAACTTTGATGAATCCAAACGTGGAGAGATCACAGATGTGTTCAAAGTCAATAGCCTTTCTCGACCATTAACAACAGAACACTCAGTGTATATCAAAACGCCTATCATAACGTATCACAGCACACGGAAAACGTTATTAATGGTTTTCCCATGATGACGTCAGTATTGGGAAATTTAAGACACATTATTGCTGTTTGCTACAGTTACAAATTGTATATGGATCATCATCTTCATCGTCATCGTCAAAATCATTATCATCGTCATCACAATCACTATCATTAACAATATCATGATATTATAATCAGCATCAACATCGTTTATTGTCAACATCACTATCGTTTTTATTATCAATATTTTCATCATCATTTTCATCATTATAATCGTCATCGTTAGCATCGTCATCAAGTACATTAATATCATCATCTTCATCATTAACATCAGGAATCATCAGTTAATATTATCATCATGGCCATCGTCATTATCAGCATCCTCATTACCACGATCTTCATTCACATCATTATAATTAAAATCATCTTTAATTATGAACACTCCTTATTAAACTGCCAGTTAATCGGATTTTTTTAAAAACTGTTAACATTTAAACTTTGGGGGTAGCTAAATATCAAGTTAAACTCTGGGGTTAGCTAGCTAAATATCAAGTTAAACTGCCGGGGTAGCTAAATATCATGTTAAACTTTGGAGGTAGCTAAATATCAAGTTAAACTTTGAGGGTAGCTAAATATCAAGTTAAACTTTAGGGATAGCTAAATATCAAGTTAAACTGTGGGGTTAGCTTAATATCAAGTTAAACTGTGGGGTTAGCTAAATATCAAGTTAAACTTTGGGGGTAGCTAAATATCAAGTTAAACTGCCGGGGTAGCTAAATATCAAGTTAAACTTTAGGGATAGCTAAATATCAAGTTAAACTGTGGGGTTAGCTTAATATCAAGTTAAACTGTGGGGTTAGCTAAATATCAAGTTAAACTTTGGGGGTAGCTAAATATCAAGTTAAACTGCCGGGGTAGCTAAATATCAAGTTAAACTTTAGGGATAGCTAAATATCAAGTTAAACTGCCGGGGTAGCTAAATATCAAGTTAAACTTTGGGGGTAGCTAAATATCAAGTTAAACTGCCGGGGTAGCTAAATATCAAGTTAAACTTTGGGGGTAGCTAAATATCAAGTTAAACTGCCGGGGTAGCTAAATATCAAGTTAAACTGCCGGGGTAGCTAAATATCAAGTTAAACTGCCGGGGTTTCTAAATATCAAGTTAAACTGTGGGGTTAGCTAAATATCAAGTTAAACTGTAGGGTTAGCTAAATATCAAGTTAAACTGTGGGGTTAGCTAAATATCAAGTTAAACAGCCGTAATAGCTAAATACCAAGGTAACTGTGTGTGTAGCTATATATCAAGTTAAACTGTCGGTGTAGCTAAATATCAAGTTAAACTTTGGGGGTAGCTAAATATCAAGTTAAACTGCCGGGGTAGCTAAATATCAAGTTAAACTGCCGGGTATGCTAAATATCAAGTTAAACTGTGGGGTTAGCTAAATATCAAGTTAAACAGCCGTAATAGCTAAATACCAAGGTAACTGTGTGTGTAGCTATATATTAAGTAAAACCGAGAGAGTAACTAGATATCAAGCTAAACTGTTAAGGGAGGATTAAAACGGATGGTAAAATATACAAAAGTGCTGGAGTTTGGGAATGATGGAGAAAAAAAGTAAGAACATTAAAAAGAAGATTTTGGGAAAACCGAAAGGAAAATGACTAGATTAATGTTAATTGTATTTCCGTGGTGGAGGATGGGGCATCATGGAGGTGGGTGGAGGGTAACTGATTTTCTAAAATTTTCAAAGAGTGAAGTATGCTTCAGTGCACTGCAAAGCTTTCATCAAAACTAAAGATTGATTTCTAACTCCGTGGCGATTAAATAGAAAATATTAGTGCGGAAGTTATTTGGTTGTTTAAATGACCAACATTTGATGTTTAAGTTTGATCTTCAACTCTGATGTGGTGAGTTTTAGACAAGAAATCAATGATTGATGTTAATGTCGAAGTTATGATCTTTTCCATCCTACACTGGGGCGAAAAATAACTGCGATAGGTTATTCCGTGTACGTCCTTCCTGTGTCCTGTTCTAAAGTGGAGGGGATGTGGGGAGGGATAATAGAGTATTTCGTTACCTTAATACATTTTATAAAACACTAGCGCAGGGGTCGGCAATTTTTTGATAGGCAAGATCAAAAAGTTACAATTTACAAACTTTCCCAGTTTTTAAAGAGCCACAACATTTTTAGTTCAATATTCGGTATTTGATTAGGATTAGTTAAATAAAGTTGATTTGTTATTTAAAATAAATAGCTTTAAATATGAAATATTTATTCATATAAAAACATAGACATGTTTCGCCAGAATAGTAAAATTAGTAATCAAATAATATTATTCTAGGACTATCTCAATCCACTTTAGAAGCTGTTAACTTTTATTTTATTTTTTCTTTACGGATATCACCGGCTCAGGAGGTGTCTCCCATTAGCCAGTCAGGCCTCAACACGGCAAACGCCGACTAACTGGCTTTGATATCGGTTTAAATAACTTGCATCGTTCGCTTCTATACTTTGGTTCTCATTTGGCTTATCCTCCATCCCACTGAACGCAGGGTAGTCGTACCCCACCGTCCAGTAAATATGAAATTATATAACTATTAATACTTGTGCAAGGAGCTGGAGAGCCGCATCTGGACGTCAAAAGAGCCGCATGCGGCTCGCGAGCCGCAGGTTGCCGACCCCTGCACTAGCGTACTGTCGCGCGGTGCCGCGATCTAGTCCTTCACACAAGAGTGTCGTAACATATTTCATTAACATCTTATTAAACGTGTATTTTTAGACGTGTGACGACCATTTCTAAAAACAAATATGTACAGAAATGTAAGCAAAACCGGGGCTTTAATATTTTATCTCAATTATTGTGGCGCGGGTTTGTTAACACTACGGCCTAGGAGGTGCTGTAGGAAAGCATTGAGTTCATGTTGAACATCCTCCGCAATAGCGAAAGAAAGAAATCATCGTTGGTCTCTTGGATGTCAGGGTCTTTCATGGACGGTCTCATAAGCAACCACGTTCGATTTAGTCATCGAATATACAAGCTCAACGTATCTCTAGTGTAGGGTGCTCTTTAAAGCGATTTTCGGCGTACTCGGGGTGCTCAGGTCGTATGCACCGTGTCAGTATTGTATTGAACTCATTAAAACTAATTTAGGCGACGTAGTGCTCACAGGGAGCCAGAGATACTCCGGGTTACCCGACTGCCGGAGCGTCGGCGGACGCACCTGATTTGATGTAGAGAAATATTTTAGTAGCACATCGTGTTCATAGTGAATCGCACTTTTAAAACAAACGTAGGCGCCATATTGCTTACGTGTGAGACGATGGTGCTCCGGGTCATTCAATCGCCGGGGTCACCGGCGGATGAACCTAATGCAGTTTAACAGCTGAATCAAGTAGTACCCATAACCCACTATGCAGGGCGCCCAATTAACGGGTACCCAAGATAGCCGATCGAAAAATGTGGGTGCCAAACGTCATCTGCCTTTTACTTTTTTAGATATCTTATTTAGAATAAACACGCACACTGCCGAGACGCCGCCACTAAGAAATTGTAATTTTCTTTATCTCAGAAACATATACAGCAGTATTCCCAATAATGACTCAATGTTTCATGGTATTTGGATCAGCCGTGTAGTCATCCGAAAAGTACATAAACACACATAGATTTTTTACACGTATATATATATATATATATATATATATATATATATATATATATATATATATATATATATATATATATATATATATATTAGGTTAATCCATAAGAGACAAATATAATTGTTTAACGTGTTTTCTTCTTTTATCTTTTAATATAAAAATATATTACCAAGGATTAAGGTTTGGTTTTATTTTCTATAATTGTAAGTCAATCCTAAGCTTAACATTGTTTTTATTGTAAATTGATTATAGTAAAAAAAAGACACATGATTCTACATGGCTCGAAGAAACACCTTATAAGCTACTGAAATATTGCTGGTTTGGCTAAGTATTGAATACCATTATAACGTAATGCTATTATAAACACTCACTCATTTCACTCGCCCACACTCTCAGAGATGATGCAAACATCATATCATTAACACACCTTGTACTTAAACAGTTATCATTAACACACTCTCGTTACTTAATGCATATCGTTACAAAACTCTTCACTAATACATGTATCACTATCTCTCTCTCTCTCTCTCTCTCTCTCTCTCTCTCTCTCTACTAATACATGAATCGACCTTAACACTCTCTATATTAATACATGTATCATATCATTAACATTCTCTCTCTCTCTACTACTACTACTACTACTACTACTACTACTACATTAATCTCCTTAACACACTCTATACTAATACATGTATCATATCATTCTCTCTACAAATACATTTATTATGTCATGAGCACACTCTACCAGTCGTAACAACATTACACAGTATAGCGTGTAATACAAAAATGTGTGTAGGTGCATAGAGTGTGTAGTGAGTAAAACCTTTTAAACTTATTTGAAATTTGAGTCATCTTTTCCCTTCCCCCCCCCCCAATTCTATTCCCCACCCGCCACAAGTATACGTAAATTTTAATTGCACAAAATATAACGAAAAGAAGTATTTTTTACCTCGAAAAGAAACACAGTAATGTACGTCTTGTGATTAAGGCTCTGTTTTGTTTATCACGGTGTTTCACTGTCCAGTGATTTTTATTTTGAAAAGACTGTTTTTTTTTTGTTTCTTTTGGTGACACACGTTCTTGGCTTTGTGTGTTGACTCATGCGCATTGTCTCATGACGGATGTTGATTTGATGATAGATATTAACAACACCAGTATAGTTATGTCTGCAGACCAGAGTTTGTTCCAGGCATCTCTTCGGTAGGGGGGGGGGCATTGTAGCCTGTTGCAAATGTTGGTAAACATTTTTGCAAATGTTGGTAAACATTTACCTCAAACCGACAAACAGACATAGTGAACTAAATAATATCTTATGATAACAATTCAGAGAAGTTTTGTGAAGCATCTCTCGCTACCACCACTATGCACAATTTTAAACACCCACCGAATTCCCTATTACAAGATTTGTTCTGTTGGCATTTTCAAGGGAGAAAACAGAAAAAGTAGCATTTAGTTTCTCATTGTTTAGTTCATTTAGTACATACTTTTGTTTGGTTAACATCTTAAACAATACAAAACTGTGCAATCAATAACATCTGTTTCATAATTATTCCCATGACAGAACATGAAGGTGGTGTGTAGAAATACGTGACTTGAGGCTGAAATCACTAGAAATTGAGTGTGTTGTTACACGGAATGTGGTGTGTTATTGCACACGTGTGGTGTGTTTGGATGTGACACAGTGTATGAAATGGCCTAATTGGTCGTCACTTAAATTACATGATATTTAGCATGAAAATCAATGGCATTTAGTGTTTTTGTTAACCTGTGCTGTGTGCTGATGTGATCAGGGTTCTTTCAGATATTTTTTTACATCAGTAGGAAGCGTGAGGGAGGTTTTCGAAACTTCTGGACATGTTTAAAAATGCAATGATTACGAACGAAGTCATGTTTGTTTGTTTGTTTGTTTTCTTTTTGGTCAATCCATAAAAGTGCATAAAACGCAGGGTCACAGAAATAATTAAATTTATCGTCGGTAAAAATTCACGATGAATTTATACCAATGTTTGATGGTTGCACGTCTCTTATATAGCATTCAACTACATCTACAATATTTACCTCAACAACAACACCATCTCCCACAACAGACACACCAATAACCAAAACAACACCAACTACAACTAAAACAACATTAACTAAAACTACAACAACACTAACTACAACTACAAATACAAATACAACAATATAAATTAACATTACAGCTACAAAACAAACTCAAACAGAACAGCAACAACTACGACTACATCAAAACTACTACAACATCATGACCATAAATTATCATTCCTACACTATAATCCACTACTGCGACACGCATGTTCCACATTGGTTATCATCGACTAAGACGAAATTTTTTTTCAGTTGAAAGCTACCAACCTGTTGCCTGAAGTCAAGTATATTTTAGATATAAAACTGCGTCGCTAGATTTATTTTTACAAATGTAAATAGCTTTTAATTTCACGGGTCTGAAGGTTTACATTTTCAGACAGCTACTGTTTTGTGTACCAGCATACGGTGAAGGATACACACTTCATTGTACACATTTCCTTGTAACATTTTCATTGCATATTTTTCGTTATTTCATTATTAATATTTCTTTGGTTTCTTTTTGTTTCCAGTTTTTTTATATCGGTTTTGTGTTCGCTGATTTTATGAAAGGCACGAACATTTGTTGTCTTTTTTATCTAACTGCAAAAAAAAACATCTGTTTTTCCATTTATTATAATGTGAATGCTGAAATTAATAGAGATCATCAACAGACATCAATGATAACGGATTGATGGAAATCGATATGAATCATAGATAGCGGTCATTCACATACATTATTTAAATGAATATCGATAGATTATTTATAGAGATCATTTATTGATAAACCATATAAATTATTTATAGTTGATTATAAGGACGATCGATATTAATCGATAAAGAGTAATTGATGGAGTTCCTGTGGTGGACTGTTTATTTATAATTACACACAAATACATACAAATAATGAACATAGTTTTGTTCTACATTTGCTTGATAAAAGAAAAAATTGAAACATTGGTTGCTTTATTGTGTTTATTGATTTTTGAAATGGGTTAACATATTTTTACTCTACGTGATTTTAGTTTTTAATTGTTTATCTATCTATCCAAGTGTCAGTATGTTTTCTACTGTTATTACAGTTATTGAATAAATTGAATATATTAAATTGAATCTAATTATAAACATAAGAGAAAAAGTAGATTTTTATAAATTACTAGCATTCAAACCGTTGCAAAGGTCAGTAGAACAAAAACAGGTGTCTTTGCCCAGGTAAGTCACACACCCATTGGCTTGAATAACGTTCGATGGGAAGCCTCCATCTGAACAGTCACGGGCAACAACTGTAAAGGGAAATTTTGGCAAGAATAATTTTGTAGGTTAATTAGTTCACTTTCTACAGCAGTAATTAGCTATTGTGACTTTATTAAATTACTCCAGAGAATCAAGTGAATTTTTTAAAATACAAGATAAAACGCTAGTTCCTAGGTTTCAAATTATTTAACATTGTGAAATAATTACGCCATATAGTAAACACCAAAATAAGTTGTTATTGTGTCAAAGAGTTCTGGATACATACTGTCGTGGATTCATGGATACATACATTCGTGGAGTCATGGATACATACTGTCGTGGATTCATGGATACATACTGTCGTGGCATTATGGATACATACATTCGTGGAGGCATGGTTACATACTGTCGTGGAGTCATGGATACATACTGTCGTGGATTCATGGATACATGCATTCGTGGATTCATGGATATATACTGTCGTGGAGTCATGGATACATACATTCGTGGAGTCATGGATACATACTGTCGTGGATTCGTAGGGACGATGAATCTTCAGCCCATTCAACATTGTTTTTACAGTCAGTTGTTATAATAAAGTCAATGTCACAACTTGGCGTATTTACTATGACTACTTCTACTTACGTTCTCCAGAACCTGTTTGAAATGTTGTTTTTACACATGGGCCAGTACACTCAATAAGCTTAGCTTTTATCCAGCCTTCGGAATCCCCTACTTGGGGGCATATAGATGCTCCGTTACCATTCGTGCATTGGTAGCACATGCGGAGTATTCGTGTTGTTGAAATAGTTGTTGTGGTGTCAGGTATTGGCGAAGTGGTGTCAGGTGTTGTTGTTATAGTTTCTGGTGATGTTGTAATAGTTTTGTGTGTTGTTCTACTGCGTTTTCGTTTTGTAGTAGTCGCCTCTTGTGTTGAAGCAGTCGTTTCCGGTGTTGTAGTGCTTGTTTCTGGTGTTGTCGTTTCTGATGTTGTAGTTGTAGTTTCTGGTGTTGAAGTAGTTGTTTCAGGTGTTGTTGATATTTCTAGTGTTGTAGTAGTCGTTTCTAGTGTTGTTGTTGTCATTTCTTGTGTTGCTGTTGTTGTTTCTGGCGTAGTCGTTTCTGGTGTTGTAGTAATTGTTTCTGATGTAGTAGTTGTTTCTGGTGTTGTAGTAGTCGTTTCTGGTGTTATCGTTTCTGGTGTTGTCGTTTCTGGTGTTGTTGTAGTCGTTTCTGGTGTTGTAGCAGTCGTTTCTGGTGTAGTCGTTTCTGGTGTTGTAGCAGTCGTTTCTGGTGTTGTAGCAGTCGTTTCTGGTGTTGTAGCTGTCGTTTCTGGTGTTGTAGCTGTCGTTTCTGGTGTTGTCGTTTCTGGTGTTGTAGCAGTCGTTTCTGGTGTTGTCGTTTCTGGTGTTGTAGCAGTCGTTTCTGGTGTTGTAGCAGTCGATTCTGGTGTTGTAGCAGTCGTTTCTGGTGTTGTAGCTGTCGTTTCTGGTGTTGTAGCAGTCGTTTCAGGTGTTGTAGCTGTCGTTTCTGGTGTTGTGGCAGTTGTTTCTGGTGTTGTCGTTTCTGGTGTTGTAGCAGTCGTTTCTGGTGTTGTCGTTTCTGGTGTTGTAGCAGTCGTTTCTGGTGTTGTAGCTGTCGTTTCTGGTGTTGTGGCAGTTGTTTCTGGTGTTGTCGTTTCTGGTGTTGTAGCAGTCGTTTCTGGTGTTGTCGTTTCTGGTGTTGTAGCAGTCGTTTCTGGTGTTGTAGCTGTCGTTTCTGGTGTTGTGGCAGTTGTTTCTGGTGTTGTCGTTTCTGGTGTTGTCGTTTCTGGTGTTGTAGCAGTCGTTTCTGGTGTTGTCGTTCCTGCTGTTGTAGCAGTCGTTTCTGGTGTTGTCGTTTCTGGTGTTGTAGCAGTCGTTTCTGGTGTTGTCGTTTCTGGTGTTGTAGCAGTCGTTTCTGGTGTTGTAGCAGTCGATTCTGGTGTTGTAGCAGTCGTTTCTGGTGTTGTCGTTTCTGGTGTTGTAGCAGTCGTTTCTGGTGTTGTAGCAGTCGTTTCTGGTGTTGTAGCAGTCGTTTCTGGTGTTGTCGTTTCTGGTGTTGTAGCAGTCGTTTCTGGTGTTGTAGCAGTCGATTCTGGTGTTGTCGTTTCTGGTGTTGTAGCAGTCGTTTCTAGTGTCGTAGCAGTCGATTCTGGTGTTGTCGTTTCTGGTGTTGTAGCAGTCGTTTCTGGTGTTGTCGTTTCTGCTGTTGTAGCTGTCGTTTCTGGTGTTGTAGCTGTCGTTTCTGGTGTTGTCGTTTCTGGTGTTGTAGCAGTCGTTTCTGGTGTTGTAGCAGTCGTTTCTGGTGTTGTAGCTGTCGTTTCTGGTGTTGTAGCAGTCGTTTCTGGTGTTGTAGCAGTCGTTTCTGGTGTTGTAGCAGTCGTTTCTGGTGTTGTAGCAGTCGTTTCTGGTGTCGTAGCAGTCGATTCTGGTGTTGTCGTTTCTGGTGTTGTAGCAGTCGTTTCTGGTGTTGTCGTTTCTGCTGTTGTAGCTGTCGTTTCTGGTGTTGTAGCTGTTGTTTCTGGTGTTGTAGCAGTCGTTTCTGCTGTTGTAGCTGTCGTTTCTGGTGTTGTAGCAGTCGTTTCTGCTGTTGTAGCTGTCGTTTCTGGTGTTGTAGCAGTCGTTTCTGCTGTTGTAGCTGTCGTTTCTGGTGTTGTAGCAGTCGTTTCTGCTGTTGTAGCTGTCGTTTCTGGTGTTGTAGCAGTCGTTTCTGGTGTTGTCGTTTCTGCTGTTGTAGCAGTCGTTTCTGGTGTTGTAGCAGTCGTTTCTGCTGTTGTAGCTGTCGTTTCTGCTGTTGTAGCAGTCGTTTCTGGTGTTGTAGCAGTCGTTTCTGGTGTCGTAGCAGTCGATTCTGGTGTTGTCGTTTCTGCTGTTGTAGCAGTCGTTTCTGGTGTTGTAGCAGTCGTTTCTGCTGTTGTAGCTGTCGTTTCTGGTGTTGTAGCTGTCGTTTCTGGTGTTGTAGCAGTCGTTTCTGGTGTTGTAGCAGTCGTTTCTGCTGTTGTAGCAGTCGTTTCTGGTGTTGTAGCAGTCGTTTCTGGTGTTGTAGCTGTCGTTTCTGGTGTTGTCGTTTCTGGTGTTGTAGCAGTCGTTTCTGGTGTTGTCGTTTCTGGTGTTGTAGCAGTCAATTCTGGTGTTGTCGTTTCTGGTGTTGTAGCTGTCGTTTCTGGTGTTGTAGCTGTTGTTTCTGGTGTTGTAGCTGTCGTTTCTGGTGTTGTCATTTCTGGTGTTGTAGCAGTCGTTTCTGGTGTTGTAGCTGTCGTTTCTGGTGTTGTCATTTCTGGTGTTGTAGCAGTCGTTTCTGGTGTTGTAGCAGTCGTTTCTGGTGTTGTAGCTGTCGTTTCTGGTGTTGTCGTTTCTGGTGTTGTAGCAGTCGTTTCTGGTGTTGTCGTTTCTGGTGTTGTAGCAGTCAATTCTGGTGTTGTCGTTTCTGGTGTTGTCGTTTCTGGTATTGTAGCAGTCGTTTCTGGTGTTGTAGCAGTCGTTTCTGGTGTTGTAGCTGTCGTTTCTGGTGTTGTAGCTGTCGTTTCTGTTGTTGTCTTTTCTGGTGTTGTAGCAGTCGTTTCTGGTGTTGTCGTTTCTGGTGTTGTAGCAGTCGTTTCTGGTGTTGTAGCAGTCGTTTCTGGTGTTGTAGCAGTCGTTTCTGGTGTTGTAGCAGTCGTTTCTGGTGTTGTAGCTGTCGTTTCTGGTGTTGTCGTTTCTGGTGTTGTAGCAGTCGTTTCTGGTGTTGTAGCAGTCGTTTCTGGTGTTGTCGTTTCTGGTGTTGTAGCAGTCGTTTCTGGTGTTGTAGCAGTCGTTTCTGGTGTTGTCGTTTCTGGTGTTGTAGCAGTTGTTTCTGGTGTTGTAGCAGTTGTTTCTGGTGTTGTCGTTTCTGGTGTTGTAGCAGTCGTTTCTGGTGTTGTAGCTGTCGTTTCTGGTGTTGTGGCAGTTGTTTCTGGTGTTGTCGTTTCTGGTGTTGTCGTTTCTGGTGTTGTAGCAGTCGTTTCTGGTGTTGTCGTTCCTGCTGTTGTAGCAGTCGTTTCTGGTGTTGTAGCAGTCGTTTCTGGTGTCGTAGCAGTCGATTCTGGTGTTGTCGTTTCTGGTGTTGTAGCAGTCGTTTCTGGTGTTGTCGTTTCTGCTGTTGTAGCTGTCGTTTCTGGTGTTGTAGCTGTCGTTTCTGGTGTTGTAGCAGTCGTTTCTGGTGTTGTAGCAGTCGTTTCTGGTGTTTTAGCAGTCGTTTCTGGTGTTGTAGCAGTCGTTTCTGGTGTTGTAGCTGTCGTTTCTGGTGTTGTAGCTGTCGTTTCTGGTGTTGTCGTTTCTGGTGTTGTCGTTTCTGGTGTTGTAGCTGTTGTTTCTGGTGTTGTCTTTTCCGCTGTTGTAGCAGTCGTTTCTGGTGTTGTAGCAGTCGTTTCTGGTGTTGTAGCAGTCGTTTCTGGTGTTGTAGCAGTCATTTCTGGTGTTGTAGCAGTCGATTCTGGTGTTGTCGTTTCTGGTGTTGTAGCAGTCGTTTCTGGTGTTGTCGTTTCTGGTTTTGTAGCTGTCGTTTCTGGTGTTGTAGCTGTCGTTTCTGGTGTTGTCGTTTCTGGTGTTGTAGCAGTCGTTTCTGGTGTTGTGGCAGTCGATTCTGGTGTTGTCGTTTCTTGGGTTGTAGCAGTCGTTTCTGATGTGGTAGTAGCTGTTTCTGGTGTGGTAGTAGTTGTTTCTGGTGTTGTAGTAGTTGGTGTTGTTGTCGTGGTAGTTGGTGTTGTTGTAGTTGTAGTGGTAGTTGGTGTTGTTGTCGTGGTAGTTGGTGTTGTTGTAGTTGTAGTAGTAGTGGTAGTGGTAGTTGATGTTGTTGTAGTAGTTGTTGGTGTTGTTGTAGTGGTCGTTGATGTAGTTGTTGTCGGCAGGCAGTAGTAATCTATCCAAGGCTTCAACATTGCATCTAATGCAGCTGACACAACCAATTGATTGAAATATGTGCAGTCAGTGGCAGCTAAACCCATCACACAGGCTTTTGATTTTCTCGCCCACCTAGGAAAAAACATCACAGTGTTTTAGAATGTTGGGCGAAATAAAGAAGTCAAAGACGATGTTCATTTCAACAATCTGAATCAGGGGTTCGAAAGTGGCATTACTGTTTATATTCTGGTGTTGTTGTTTTATGTAGTGAATATTTGTTTTACTTCCTCGCTTACGGCAGTTAGAGAAAGTATTGTTACTGTAAAAACTCGAAATGAAGAGTTCTGGACATTTTGCACCTCCTCGAGTGGAAAAAAAAGTTTTGCAATCTTTTAGTGTGTGTTTCTGTTTGGGGGTCGTCCATAAATGACGTCACACTTTTGTGTGTGATGAGGGGGAGGGGGGGGGGGGGGGTTAGATGGTGGGACATCACACTTTTGCATTGAAGAAAAGCAATGTTAGAAAACGAATTTTAGAAAACTTTTTTAATTAAGCGTAATATAAATTGATAGCTCAGACAAGGTTTTGGAAAAATATCGACGTTTTAAGAAAAATTCAGCTTCAATTTTGAGGGGGGGGGGGGGGTTAGGCTCAGGTGTGATGTCATTTTAGGGTGGGGGTCTGGCTTTTTGTGACGATGTATGACGGAGGGGAGGGGGAGGGGGAGGTAAAAATCGTCAAAAAAGCGTGACGTCATTTATGGATAACCCCTTGTCCGTGTATGACCATAAAATAAATTACTATTGGAGTATATATATATATATATATATATATATATATATATATATATATATATATATATATATATATATATATATATATATATATATATATATATATATATATATATATATATATATATATATATATATATATATAACTATCCTATCAAATTCATAGTTGTTGTGTTGCGTATATACTCAACGTGATAATTTGAATTATCGTGTTATATTTATTTTATTGATATTATAGTTTACTGAATATGCCATATGTTAATATATTGACAATGTGGTTTGCTAAAATAACCAATATAATAAGTTTTTTCTTTAATAGTAGGGTGGGAGGAATGTCATGGTGGTAGAGTAGATTTGTGTATGACTGGATTGAACGGTCGAGTAAGGGACAGCATTCAATAAGGACGATTTAAAGCTTGGTCAGGGACAGTTAGGGTATGATTTAGTGAGAACAGTACGCTTTCTAGCGGTGTAGTGTGATATTCAATTCAATTAAAGTATCATGTTGTATTATTAATCTTGAACTAGTTATATTTTTTATTCGACACGAAAATTGTAAATATTCTGTCCTCATCACAATTTGGAAAAGCCACCGCCGGAGGTGTTTGGAAGAGTTTAAATGTAAATGTACTCAATTTTCATATGAACACGATAAGTTTACTAACTTTTTATTTATTCTAAATTTTGTTATGTTTAATTTTTTAGCGATTTCTAATAATAGCATGAGATATTTAACTTTATTTTCGAATCTATAGTAAGATTAACAGTTTCTTTTAGTGGACGAAAATTCATATATTAATGAAAGATTGATTTTACTACTTTTGAGCGCTTTTCGTTAAACGGAAATGGCACGTTCTTCAACTATCATGTGAATACGAAAACTTGAATACCGTTTATGATTACGTTAAAAAAACCTGCTGTTCAATGGTATTTATATAGTTGTTTTTTTTAAGTATTTTCTATTTCTTGTATACATTTCATAGCGTACGTCTTGATAAGTAGATCTATAGATATAAATCAAATTAAATGAAATAGTTAATTTCTTCATATTCTAAAATTGGAGGATGACGCCATTTAGTTTTGTGTACTCTCCGCAGAACATACTTATCATATAGCCTCAAAAATGTTGCGGACAGAGAGAGAGAGAGAGAGAGAGAGAGGTGCGCACGTGGGCTTTTACACATTAGGATTAGACATAATTCAACACAATTTTCATTCATTTGTATTGAAACATTGTTGTGAAACCGTACTTTACGCAGCTTACCCCAATTTTACGCATGTACTTACTCGCACTTGTCGCTAGCTTGAACTTTACCGCAGTTCAGAAACTCCTGCTGGAAATGGGCTAAAGTTTTACAATTTCTTAGACAATTTAAGAATTGAACGAAATCTGGGGAAAACATTTATAAAACCATGTTTAGTTGCTGAAAAAAATAACACAAAGCCTGTTATAATACGAAAAAAGATACAAACACAAACATAGAGGGGAAAGATTATTTTAAACATAAATCATGTTTCCACTTAAAATGAGTAAATGAAGGCATTCATATTTCAACGTTATTGTTTTACTATTGTTTCAATTTTTATATCTACTTGTGATATTAATTGCATTCTTTTTTTTATTCCTTTTTAGAGCTTAAATTTTTAAATAAAAAAATTTCGTGTGTTGTTCCTCTTTTATATTGTTATTGTGTGTCTTGTTAAACTGCTTGGTTAGTTTTATAAATTTCAAGTACTATTTGTCTTACTTCAAGAAAGGAAAGCAATTTGCTGTAGACTGTTTTTTA